TTTTCTGGTCTGAATTCTTCCTTTGCTCTTTTTTATAATCTGACCCTTGTAAATGACACATTGCTAGGCATATAGAGAGATTCCAGTTATGGTCTAAAATTAGCTTTCTAGTCTAAACTTGTCATCTAGGCAACCTCTGTAATCAATAGTGAAAGATAAATACCGCAAGAAGGTAATTCATCACATTTTAAGATTATGTTGAAACTGGAGGGATTAATTGCTGTCTGGGCCACCTGTCTCTTTCTGCTGATTAAAGAGAGAGCCCTAGATGACAATCTCGGATGAGGTACCTGACTTCTAGATGGCTAAAATTAGATGAAAAGTATCCTACCTGTTGTGCAAGGAGTGGTGTTGGTAATGCATTGCCTTTGTAAGGTCTGTCCTACAGAGGTAAAAACTGCATAAAATCGGAATGAGATGGCACCCACAGTTTGATCTTTTTCCTTCCTGAACTGATTTGCAACAGGTGCCAACAGTTATATTTGATTTTCAGTAGTGACTTCGGCAATGTTGTGACATTCTAGAAATCAAACCCCTACTATTTTGTTAGAATAGTTAATATTCATATAGTGCTTATGTGAATTTCTCACCAAACTGCAGAATCCATTTCACTTTTGATAGAGGGAGTTAGAAGCTTCAGAACATTTCTGACAAGGCCACACAGGACTGTACAACGACATAACTGGATACAAACCCAGTTACCTGGATCCCATTTTAAAATCATAGGGAACTGATAGATAGTATCAGTATTGATATCAGTAGATAGTATCTACTATTGCAGTGGTTGTTACTGAAACAGAAACACTCCCACACAAGTTGTCCAGATACAATTTGATCATAAACAATCAATAATTTTTGATTATCAGTGCTGCACATAAGCATTTAGAATTATAAAAATAAAATTTGGAAATACATATAAAACTATTTATGGACAAATATTGTATGGAAAGATTTTGAGCAAAACTGTATGTAAGAAAATATTTATCAGTTACAATTACTTCAATAATAAAACTGGTATTTGTGCTTCTAATGCTTGATCTTCTTTCAACAGTGCTGTAACTCACCACTGAACCAACATATTGGGAAGAGTTTGTAGCATCAAAAACTTCATCTGCATAGACTGATGCCATCTCTCCAGTCTCCAAGCACTGTGAACTGAAGCTACGAGTCTTTATGGAGTTTATATCACCTGGGTCAAAGGGAATGTTTTTCTGATATTTAACGAGGACCCTTACTGCCAGTATGACGAGCCAGGAGAAGTGGGTTAACCTAAGTCCCGGAGAGTTCTCTCAGCTTCAGAAATATGCGGAATGTAAGTAATTTTTAAAATATGTGATTTTATGGCTAATTAAAAATTAAGAATATTTTGAATGCAGAATATAATATAATAATATTATTATATTACTGATATTATTCACTGTCAAGTAAGAGGTTAAATTATGGTTTATGTTTTTTAATCCAAAAGATAGGTTCTTTGGAGAGGAAAAAAAAAATCAGTTGGGGTCTGTAACTTTTTTTTACTGAACAATTATTATCCAGTATGGTACCATGTAGACTGACTAAGGGTTATGTGACTATGGGTATTTGGAGAGCGTATTTTTATGGCTTTGCTGCCTTAAATTCACCATAACAATTTGTAGGCCACTAGAGTGGGGTTTGTAGTTAAAAAGAAACTGGCTCAGTCATGGAGGAAACATGGAGATTCCAGGAGAAACAGATCTAGGTGTTCAGTATGAAGATGTTTCTAATACTATAAACAATGCGAAGGAAGAGTTGTCCTGTGAAAGAGCAGGAAACAAAAAACTCTCTAAGCTGAAGATCCAGTTCTTTAGTTATTGCTCAGGCAAAACTTCCTTTAAGTTGCCTGAGCAACTTAAATGGCTCAGAATTAAGTGCTTCGAGAACAGGTACCAAACATGAGAAGTTAGATTTAGGAGACAGTTTATGGCGCTTGATAAGAACTGAACTGGAAAAGGTCAAGAACATTTAGGAAGTTTTCCTGTATGATAAGTAATCTAAATTTATATTTTTAAAAACTGAGAAAATCTCATATGATTTATGAATGTTGTTGATTTATTACTAAAGGAAACATTTGCATATAAGGTAAAATGAAGACTGCTGATTGTTTGGTGTCTTTTTGTGCCTATGACATGACAGCATATACTTAACTGTGTTTCAGTGTAGTCATCTAACAGAACAATCATAAAATTTAATAACTTTAATAGTACGTTCCACTAGAACGTGATTGAGATTCATAATATTTTCATGATACCAAGGTAAGCCATGAATGATACTTTTAATAATGCAATGTTATTGAACAACAACAAAAAAAAAATCAGGTAGAAATATTTACATGATGCTTTCTGGAACAGATGTATTTGAGTCTCGCAGTTTTCTACAATTGCTGTAGAAATAGTTTAAAGTATTCTATTTATTAACAAAGCATGTTTCTTCCCCATGCCACCTTCTTGTCTCAAAGGATAAGCTGTAGAGATGAAGCAAATTTGCTCCATATACTGCTTTAAATCCTTAGTGATGTTACCAAGTAAGGAGCTATTTTGTTTGTCATTTCATAGTGGAATATGAGACATTGATACCTGTCCAGTATTTAATCAGTTAGGACCTCCTCCTTAAAAGAAGGCCTTAAAGATCTAGTATGAGTCTGAGAAATGAAAATATCCATGCATTTTAGTAGTTCTTTCATTTGTATGTAACATACAGAAACATTAAATAAAAGGAAACAGTATGCAATTACATGGAGCTTAAAAAGAACACATCCAAATTTTGTATTGATGTTCTGTTGCCTTCAGAGACCATTTCAATGAAAATTTTGTATTTCAGATGTTTGATGTGAGTAAGCTTGCTTCTTTTAAATTACGTCACGAAACGGATAGTAAACATAGTATAGCAGTTTAAAAAAAAAAAAAATTTACTTTTGAAAATATGTACTTCTTCCTGGGAAAATATTTAAAAATGATTGTTCATTAATTTTTTCAATACCAGAAATTGAAGACTTCTAACAGAGAGAGAACAGTTAAGAATTTTTTTTCTATGCATTCTCATAATTTAAGCCTTCAATGCAGCGTTTGCCAAAATATTTGTTGTCTTCCTTGGGGGGGGTTTTGGGGGGGGGGGGGGGGCAAAAAAAGGCATTTAATATATTCCTTTTCTTTCTGCTTCCCTTTGCTCCTCCAGCACTTCTTGCACACACCATAGTTCAGAGCCATTGCTTTAATAGAACTGTTGGTATCAGGATAAAGTATTTGGTGAAATTGGTTGTATTTGTTTGTGTTCAGGTTTGTGTGTGTATGTAAAAGAAACACATGGTGTCTTCGAAGCTTGCTCTCCTTGTCTGGAATAGAAGAATGTTAGTTGTTCGAAAATGTGAAATGTGATGCATCTTTGTATAAATACTTCAATTTCTGAGGCAATTTGAAAAAAAATCGTTAATGGTATATAGACTTTGATATATAATGCCAAGGGAACGTAACCCAGATATGGGCCTTATTTTAAATTTCTGAGCTGTCCAATTTAATTTTGCTAAATGACTGAATAGCAGTATGTTTAAATGTGTGATTTAAGACTTCAAAATGCAATTAAAAAATATTTAATTGGAGCCAATATTTTTGAATTTGATACATTTTTGTCTAACATGCAGAGATATGAAATGTTGTGACAGTAGATGCCTTTACTCATTACTATACAGTGATTAAATTATGTGGAATTTTTTGAAGTTTGAGTATATAATTGCTTTGATACTTCATTGTCTTTGTTGAACATGGCAAGATAGTGAACTGAAAAATCGCCAAATTTCTAATAGAGTTTAGCTGGCTTGGTAGAGTTTGATTTATTAATCAGAAAAAAAAAAGGCATTGCACACTTCTCTCCAGCATGTGACTTGAGGTGCCAGTGGGTCTCCTGCAGGAAGGAGAGATGATCTGGGTGTCAGAAGGTAACACTGTAGGGAGTGTTGACTTTGTGGCAGTTGCCTTCCAACAAGTGTTGGTGATGAGCCCCCAGCCTTGCCTTGTGCTGAGGAGTGGGTTTCACTAAGGACTCTGGAATACAGTAGGGAATTTATAGTGAAGTGATTTGTTTTCCACTCACCTGCTGATATGTGGGGGTGTTATTTGCTTTGCCTTTCATTCAATTTGGTGTATAGACTTCATAAATGTTACCTAAATTACAACATTATTTTAACTATGGAAATTTTTAACAGATACACTTTCTTGAATTTACAAAATTTAGCCCTAAAGTGAGTACTGGAACAAAGAGCAGAGTCTCCCAAAAATCCATCTACCTTGGATGTCAGTGACTTTGGATCATACTCTTAGTGGCTGATAGTCACATCTATGTAATGAGGTCACTGATATCAGAATTACTTTTGTACAACTGTGGTGGGTTCACCTTGGCTGGATGGCAGGTGCCCACCAAGCCGCTCTATCACTCCTTGCTCTCTTCCCCTGCTCCAGCGTGGGGTTGCACCACAGGAGATGATCTTCCATGAACTTCAGGACACTAGCAGACAGGGCACATTTGTAGGAGTTGAGGGATTTCGGTTTGAGTCTTTTGAGGTCGAACCTCAATTTGAACGCATATCCTCAGTCTTTGCCCTAACCAGAAGGCAAGCCTGTCTCATTTCCAACTGCTTTATGAAGATGACTGTTGCTGCCAGACTTTGCTGAAATCAGTTACACCTGCAAGTATTACAGTTTCTGTGAATAGCAGGAGAATGGGTCCATCCAGGTTCTACGAGAGGAATTAAGTGCCTCTTCTTATCTTTAGACTGTAACAGAACTTAGGAGGAGCCTAGATGACTTGCTTCTCTTCTGCATCAACTGACTTTAGTCACATAAAGGAATTTTCAAACCGTATTGAGATACAGGCTGCACAGATAATAAGCTTAAAGTACTTCCAGCATTAGGTGCAGAACTGCAGCTGATTGAGTGTGGACATTATAGATCCAGCTGTCCTGGGCTTAAACGTCTGAATTCAGCCTAAATCCCCTTTTTAGTCACCAAAGTAGGTGTGTGAACCTTTCACTATAAAGCCCGTTAAACTCCTCAACTGGATTCTTGTGCTCAGACAGGGACATGAGCTTTCTACTTTCTGACTGAAAGACACTTTCCTCCAGTTCAGTGTAGTTCCACTTTGAATTCATCTTCTGTCAGCTTGATGATTAGCCTGTCTACTTTTGCAAGTATAGTTAAACAAACAAGGCCTGCGCTTAGCTCTGTGTGGAAGATACTGTCCTTGGTATCCCACTGAGAAGTTCCTACCACATCTTGTCTGCCTGTCTTCTTCATCGCATATTTATGGTATGATTCTCAGCTTTATCCAAGTGTATTGTCTGGTGAACACAAACCCTGAATGTAAAATTTCTTTCCTGAATACATACCAGCTTTTCCCAATTTCCATAGATGTAACTGAACCGCAAAGGAGAATGAGTTCTTCACCACTTGTTCCTAATCACAAAGCATTTCCCTCTAAGCGACACTCAGGACTTAATAGTAAGTGAATGTTTTCCAGTACATTAATCCAAGGAATATCCATAATTTTGTTTTACTGAACTATTTCCGAGCTCAATTCAAGGCAACTTTATACTTCCAGTTGAAGACCTTTCTTCATCTGCTCGCCATACTTAAATAATTTGGAGCTTCAAATGAATTTTTTGGAACAGTTTAAATATTACTTTAAAAAGAAAAGTGTATTTCTAGAATTCAAAGAGCATATTACCTAATACTTTGGCTCTTTGCAGCTAATATGCATGTGTGTGGTTTTTGGAAGAATAATTATTTCCAAAGACAGTTCTTCTGTGTCCTCCTTGCTGGTCAAATTAAAAATCTCCTCTCTCCTCTTGTTCTGAAGAGAGAATAGTAGAAAATATTTGGCATTAGATCTGTGTCTGGTTTTAAAATGCCTCAGAAGAATACGTGAAAAGAAAGAGAACTGAGATAACTGGTGTGCTCGTTATGTAGTAGTAATAATAACAATAATAAACCCAACAATAATGTGTAACCCACACTGAATCCTGAAGATTCTAGGGAAATGCATGCACTCGAGAAGAAAATTCACATTTTTTTCTCCTTTAGATTTCATGATTAATGCTGGCTGTGGGGAAAAAAAGGCAAAAAGATGCAGGGACTTTTCTGCGTAAAAATGTCACTTAAAGTGCATAGGGTAATGTACATACAGGACTTTTCAGGCAGAGACTGTTTTTTCTAAACTGTATAGTACCAAGTATATGCATAGTTCTGTACTATTCCTAACAGCAGCCTGAATTGTAAGGACATTAGAAAGAAACAGTATAAA